GAAATTGCAACGTTTAGGCTGCTACCCATCGCCTAGCATTTAGCTGCCACCCCGATTCAACATTGAATTCTTTGTGATTTAACTCCATCTGACGGATCAAACCCTCGCCACTGCGGCGTTGCGTCTGGGGTTGATTTTCAGATCAATGCATTACGTCGTGGCATACGGAGAAACTAATTAACTAGTTAAAAAAAAGGATCATGGGTTAAGATCGGATGTGTTTTATTTGGAAATCTACCGGATCCTTTGTGCATTTCACTTCCTGTTTGGTGCGATCTCATTGATGGGTTTTGACCAGATTTTGACCAAAGAGGAACAAAATATAAATAAAAAAAAATGTAAATACACAACCAGCATATCTGGAATCAGTGACAGAGAGCATACATAATCACCCGCTTGCTAGTTTTTGTTACGGTTTTTCGGATCTTGTCAGGATTATGTGAAATTGCAACGTTTTGGCTGCTACCCATCGCCTAGCATTTAGCTGCCGCCCCGATTCAACATTGAATTCTTTGTGATTTAACTCCATCTGACGGATCAAACCCTCGCCACTGCGTGCGTTGCATCTCAGTTTGATTTTCAGATCAATGCATTACGTCGTGGCATACGGGAGAAACTAATTAAACTAGTTTAAAAAAAGGATCATGGGTTAAGATCGGATGTGTTTTATTTGGAAATCTACCGGATCCTTTGTGCAATTAACTTCCTGTTTGGTGCGATCTCATTGATGGGTTTTGACCAGATTTTGACCAAAGAGGAACTAAAAAAAAACAAAAAACAATTTGAATACACAACCAGCATATCTGGAATCAGTGACAGAGAGCGACTGGGACCAGAAGTTTATTAATTTCTCCCCACTTATTTCCATTCAAAATGTTTTCGATCCCACCGTGCTCTAGGGAAGGGGCGGGCATACCGCCACCTACTGTTCATGAGTGTGTAGCAACATTGTTTTACATCTATTAAATTCTATTTTTTAATTTTGTATTCTGAAGATAAATAAATAATGCTTTCCTTAATCTATAAATATCTTTTATATTTCCTTTATTTCCCAATAATCCTTTAAGACTCCATTCTTGGCCTGTCCTCTTTTCAATTTCTTCCTTTCAGGTTCATATGTTTTGCAGTTCATCAATACATCTGCATTTTCTATCTCTCCACATCCTTCACATTTATCATTATTTTTCCTCCCTATTAAGTATAAATTGTCATTTAAATAAGTATGACCTACTCTTAATCTGATCATTATTATTTCTTCCCTTCGGTTTCTCTCATTAATATTTCTATTTAATACTGACTTTTATACTTTATATAACCTTCTTCCTTTTTATCTTCATTCCACCTTTTTTTGCCATTTTTCAATGTCTTTCCTCTTAATAAATGATTTTCCTTTCCCTTTCCCTAAAGGAATTGTAATTGTTATTGCCTCCTCTAATTGCTAATTTTTCTACTACTACTACATTTTCCCACTTTGACCTTTTAAGGTTAGCATATTGACCAAAAGCTGACACCAAAAATAAAGCAATCGATTATTTACAACAATATGCTACATTTAATGAAGACTAATACAGATTTTACTCTCTTATAAGAATTAGTTTTAGGTTTTATAGGGGAGAGTTTGTATCGGCAGTCATCTGGGAATCTTTTATGTATTTACTGGTAAAGAACAACCTCTCAACCCATTTAATGTAAATGTTGCGTCGAACCAGAAAGTTATTTGATGAGCATAGATGCATAAATATATGCATAGCTTTAACAAGGGCCTCATGAAGGTCTGTTCTGTTATTCTCTTTTGGAGAATATAGACATTGTGGGCATTCATTTCCCTGATAAGCTGGTGAAGATTCTTAGATATCCAGGTCATAATCATTCCCAAAAAAAAAAAAAAAAAACTTTGGACTTTGTTTTTCAAGTTTGAAGACTTCCCATTCAGGACGTTTTTCAATTCAAAATTACAGTAGCCCAACAAATCCTTGTTTTGGCTAAGAAAATATGCAAATTGAACCTGATGCCTGATCCCAATAGCTTGACTCTGAACCGAATTTGATCCCTATTACTTTTTGGCCACATGCACATTATTGTGCTGCCTGGTCAACCCTAAGAAAATGTTCTGGAACTGCCACTGAACTGACACCCAATGCATGGAGGGTAACCCAAAAAGGGCCATTGTTAGAGAAACTGGGTGCCTACAAAGTGCTGTTTTCAAGCTAATTAATGGAAAGTTAGCTGGAATGAAAAGTAGACAAATAACAATTACAATTCCTTTAGGGAAAGGGGAAGGAAAATCATTTATTAAGAGGAAAGAAATTGAAAATGGCAAAAAAAAGGTGGAATGAAGATAAAAAGGAAGAAGGTTATATAAAGTACAAAAGTCAGTATTAAATAGAAATATTAATGAGAGAAACCGAAGGGAAGAAATAATAATGATCAGATTAAGAGTAGGTCATACTTATTTAAATGACAATTTATACTTAATAGGGAGGAAAAATAATGATAAATGTGAAGGATGTGGAGAGATAGAAAATGCAGATGTATTGATGAACTGCAAAACATATGAACCTGAAAGGAAGAAATTGAAAAGAGGACAGGCCAAGAATGGAGTCTTAAAGGATTATTGGGAAATAAAGGAAATATAAAAGATATTTATAGATTAAGGAAAGCATTATTTATTTATCTTCAGAATACAAAATTTTAAAATAGAATTTAATAGATGTAAAACAATGTTGCTACACACTCATGAACAGTAGGTGGCGGTATGCCCGCCCCTTCCCTAGAGCACGGTGGGATCGAAAACATTTTGAATGGAAATCAGTGGGGAGAAATTAATAAACTTCTGGTCCCAGTCGCTCTCTGTCACTGATTCCAGATATGCTGGTTGTGTATTCAAATTGTTTTTTGTTTTTTTTAGTTCCTCTTTGGTCAAAATCTGGTCAAAACCCATCAATGAGATCGCACCAAACAGGAAGTGAAATGCACAAAGGATCCGGTAGATTTCCAAATAAAACACATCCGATCTTAACCCATGATCCTTTTTTAAACTAGTTAATTAGTTTCTCCGTATGCCACGACGTAATGCATTGATCTGAAAATCAACCTCAGACGCAACGCCGCAGTGGCGAGGGTTTGATCCGTCAGATGGAGTTAAATCACAAAGAATTCAATGTTGAATCGGGGCGGCAGCTAAATGCTAGGAGATGGGTAGCAGCCAAAACGTTGCAATTTCACATAATCCTGACGAGATCCGAAATACCGTAGCAAAAACTAGCAAGCGGGTGATTATGTATGTTCACTAAGGAAATATTATGTAAATAAACCCTACACTTCTCGCTATAAATGTAATCAAAAACCCATTTAAATGCAGAAACTGATTGAAATTATTGATTTTCCCACTAAAAGTTAGAGAAATCTCAGCCATGTTTATACCAAAATGTTACAGTTTCACATTATCTTGAAAAATCTTTGCAAGAAACGAACAAGCAAGTGAATATGTACATTCCCTGAGTAAATATTCTGGTAACAAACTATACATTTCTCACTAGAAATGTAATCAAAACTCATTTTAATGCAAAAACAAACTCAAGTTATTAATCTTTCCACAAAAAATGAGCGAATGTCGGCCATCTATATATATTTTTTTCTTCTCCCAGCTGGAATCTTGAAAGTCACGTGACTAGGACGTAAAACAATAGAAAGCGTATAGGTAGAAGAAACGTAACAGTACCACAAAAAAATGGCCATTAATGTACCTCCACTACGTTTTGCAGTGTGGACCAACGTAGTGGGGGTACATTTTCCCATGAGACTGGGTTGCTTTTTCATATTATATGATTTCAGTCAATTCCAGTTAAAGCTCCTGACTCTTAATCCTGTCTGTTGTTGTAATATTAATGTGATATTAATGTCACTCTTTTTTTAATAATCAATCGCATTTCTGAGGGACAAGCGACCTGAGAGCACGAGTCGCAAATGATGCTGTAGCATCCTGTGAGTTGGGAGTTCAGAACAGTGAGATGACAGCCATCTGTCGCTGTTCCTTGTCACTCCCAGTTTTTCTAGACTGACTGTGTTTGATGTTTTCTCTTATTTTTTTCTCCAAGTGCATGTGAAAAGGTTTTTCTTTCTTTTAAAGTCCCCAAGCCCAGAGAACACTTAAGACAATGCTTCTGATTTGCAACAGTCATGCATCTCTAATTACCACTTTTATTATGTGGTAATATTTTAGCTATAATGCCAAAATTCACTAAAGTCTTAAAGTAAAGTGTTTAAAAAAGTTAAAGAAAATCACAGTTTATGCAGCTTTATCTTATAAAGATCTTTTTGAGTTAGGACTCATAATCCCTTCCATGTATTGGTGGGCTTAAAACTGGACTGTTCATTAGCAACCTTAGTCAATGGCCACTGGAAACAGGCAAAGGAATTAGGAAAAATATAAATTTTATAGTAGAGTTTATCATAAGTAACAACCTCACAAAATTCTACAAGAAATCCAGCAAGTCACAAGATAAGGATCAGATAAGATGTAACAACATGTGGGATAACAGTCCAGTCCACAATAACACCACCAAACAGTTCACAAGGCTCCAAAAGTCTATTACTGTGATACCATTACAAGAGTTCTCCAAAAATCCAAGATATTTTTTCTATTGGGTTGACTAGTCATTAGTAGTTTGGAGTTAAATAGAGGCCAACTCACTATGAGTAACTGTTTGTGCCAGAGAAATGCATAATAAATCTTCTTGACTTGACTATGAGTTGCATCACAGTGCATACAGACTGCAACATGTAAATGTTAATGCAACTGTAATTGTATGTATTCCATAATTAAAAAGCAATGCTCATAGTTTTAGTGGATATAGAAAAACTCTGTAAGGTCGGTAAGCCAATAGATAACAATCATCTAAACCACACCAATGTCAAAAGTAACCTTGTAAAAATTTGATTACATCATTTAAGTTGCATCACATTCCTTATTTTTACAAGATTTAAGAAATGTATCTTACCTGACGTGTTCTGAATCTCTATGCTTTCTGTCTCGAACTTCGCTTCAGTAACCACTGTAGGGGTGGATGAGACTATGCTGGTTACACCAGATGCTGTAGGAGATGAGTAAGACATCTCTGTCCCAATGTTTGCTTTTGTACCATCCTCTGGCAGACTTTCTCCAAAATATTCTGTTTTCCGAGTGCTTGACTCACTGAGGATGCGTTTGGTTGTTGACCATGTCACATCTTCAGCTGATGTTTGAACACCGACAGACACAGTAGTACCAGATATAGCAAGAGGGTCTCCTTCCTGTGCTTTTGGAGTAGTTTGTGTTTGAATGTTAAAGGTCTCCGTTGTTTCTGTGGTGATTATGTCTTTTTCTGGCACAGTGTTACAATTAAAGCCAGTGTCATCTGTAGTAGGGGTTGTTGTTTCCATGGGATTTGAAGTAGGAGCAACAATGATGGGGTTTGGAATGGGTATGGAAAACTTTTGAAATGGAAGGAGAGGGGGACCAGCCTCAAGAAGAGGATCAGTCATAATCCCATCGTAGTCTAGGACTGGAGTTGTTGATTGAAAACCAGACTCATCAACTGATGCTGTTCCATCAGGGAAACTAAAAAACTCCTTACTGGGCAGTTCTGTTGATTCTGTGGGGTTGTCCAGGATATCAGATGATATATCTGCAATAACCCTGTGGGTAACAACAGTTTTCTCTGTTCTCCCTTCTGCAAACCTGGCTTCTGTACTTAAAGAGTCGTCTGGCAGAAGTACATCAGGTCGGATTGTGCTGATCTCAATCACAGAGTGAGCACTTGGATCGTCAATGGATTCAGTAGAATCAGTGGTGGCTATAGTAAGTACAGTTTCATTGGTTAGTAGCCCTCTGTCATACGTGCTTAGCTCTGTCATATCATCAATCTCATCGGGATCCTCTCCGATTGTTGGTGCAACTGTTGTGATTAACTGAACATCTTCGTCTGGAGAAGCAGGCTGGGTAGGAACCATACTTGCAGAGAACATTGACGTAGTATCTGTGAAAATATTAGAATCTGGAGACTCATCAGCCTCTGTTGCTGTGCCAGAGGATATGGTGGTAACAGTGGTGGACCTGGTGGTGGCCGTTGTGACTTCGTGTATTGACATATCCACGAGGACTGTCTCGTTGAAAAAGTCTCTTCCTCCTAGACAACAGCACATACAAAAAATATTAGTCAGTTGGGAAAACCAATAAAAATATATTGTTGCAGAGACAATGTATAAATGGATTTAATGCTCATATAATAGTAGTTGATTCGCAGAATTTTATATTCTCTGGAAGAAATAATGATGGGATTAAAATTTCTAAGAATATGATCTGCATATAGCAAGGCATATTTCTAGCCGCAACCCATAAATTAATATGATCATAATTGTAAGTGTGTAAAACTATTCTATTAGTTATTAACAATTATTTTCTAAGAGTTCTGTAGGAAGATTAAGCTCACAATTTCCCTTTACTGCCTTTTTGCTTTTGGAGACATAACAGTGTTGTAAATAACAGTGAAAATTAACATGAGGTTTCACAACTTCAAATCATTCTTAGAAACTTTTGAGAGACTTCCTCTCTCAACGCTCACTGCTGTTTACATCCGTTTATAAGCAGAGTCCACCAAACCTCCTTAAGATGCAGAGCTAATAGCTACTACACGTTTTTACTCTTTAATCAGTTTAATTATCTTCTCTCATACACGAGTAGAATGTTTGTGACAAAATTGTTTTTTTCCTTTTTTTATATGTGCACATATGTGTAAGTTTCTACAAACACTTCTTGATCTAAAACAGCCTCAGTAATTCTGACAGGGTAATTAATATGTTAATATGGTGAATTATTCTTTTATGACTACTTTCTTTAGGTTCAGCTGAGTGAAGGGTCATAAAAGCCCTGCCTGGTAAGTTTATGATAAGTATTTCAATAATAAGCTATTTCAATAATGCATTTTATCCATCTCCATCCATGCTCTTCTGTACTTCAGGACCCTTGCATTTACTTAATACAAAGCAGTCCAAAGTCCTTAGTGGCAAAGACAGATTGCATAAAAGCAGCTGTTGAACATTACGTGTTAGGCCTTTGCTCATGAAACTACAGTGTATGTGACGTTAGTAGTAGAGAAACTTTTTCCATTACAAGAAAATGAGAGTCTTTTCTTAGAAGTACTGCATTATATCACCAACACATTCAAACTGTTGCTATTAAAGAGGCCGATCTTGCTTTCAAGCAAGTCCAAAGACTAATCAGTGAGCAATTACCACCCTTTTCCCACTGCATCATGCTACCTTGCCTATGTATTTGTATGTAGTTTAAGTGACGTTGGTTTAGATAATGTTTTTTTTCCTTGAAATGATATTGCAGGCTTTAAAGAAAGAAAGAACAGAGTCCCTCCAAACAGGGGTACTTAAAGAGCACTTACACTAAGGTGTAAATACAACTCGGCTGAGAGAGCTGACATGAAATACACAGAGCAGGAGGTGAATGTGGCATGTTTGCATGCCCTCTGAACTCCATTGGTACTTATCACTGCAAGAGTCAGCATGGCCCAAGGGGCAGAAAATGACCAGGTGGTGGTCAGCTTATCTGTCCAGCCTCTATTTGTAAAGATGGAAAGGCCATGTCAGAGGTCACCAAGGATGACTGAATTTAGAAGTCCAGCGGTAGCTTTTGTCCATTATCCAGACGTCTGCTCAGATAAGTCCAAGTGAGAATGACAGAAGTAAAACTGACATCGGAAATAAGAGATGAAAGATGCAAGGGGTGGGCGGGCTAGATAGCGTTTTCTAAAAAACGCCCTATTAGGCCCTATTACACTCTCTTTAAGCAACCTCTAATGTCTGTTATTGGGTGTGCCCCTGGGAATACGGACAGAATCACAGATAAAAGATTTTTAAAAACTCGGCCGACATTTTAGGATACATTTAGTTTTTAATGACCCAACATTTCAACCAAAACATATTAATTAATTTAGATTGTTGGGTTTCATTTACATTTTCTGGCTGTAATTACAGCTATATAACTGTAACACATATATTATTGACACATTTTTTATTTACTTTTCAAAGGAAAAATAATGATACATTAAAATATCTTTAACTAATGAAGCACAATAACAAACACTTGGGGAATACAACTTGTCATTATTTGTAATTACACTAGCACTACTGCACTAATGTGTACAATTAACAATAAATATTATCATAGAAATATAAAGATATTACACTTATGTAATTATTAAAATAGTCATTTAATTTTAGACAGAAAAGAAAACTGTTAGAAAAATATATAAAATGCATTTTTAGCATCGTTTCAGATGTAAGAAAATGATGGTGTACGCATAGTGAAAAACAAAGCGTCGGAAGTGAATGGAAAAAGGACTTTCGGATACATTGTTTTGTAGTCATCGAACATTTTAGGTCTGAATTTCAGTCCTGACTCTTAATATTACTTTTTAATAATTTCCAGGCATATCTTCGTCAATTCTAATATCCCATACTTTCTCATAGACAACCATTAAGGGCCTAACTTTAGTAGTTAGTTCAAAAACCAATGAACATATGTTTTTTCTCAGTTAGCTATGTGTGGAATTAGCTCGTAGGATTAAAAAAAGAACGAGCTTGCAAGAAAAAAGCAAATAGATTAGAACTGAATATATCACTGAGATCATTTTCCTTTTCTTTTTTTTTTGTACAATTCCCAGTAGAAGATTAGTGTTAAAATCTATTGTTCTTTCATAAAGGCATGGCCTACACTTCAAGTTAGAATAAAAAAAAAAAAATCATGTGAAATTGTTCTTTACCTTTATAACAGTAAGCTCCAAACTTCGTTGTGGGGTCTGGAAAGCCCGTCTGGTTTCTGAAGCGATATTTTGTTCTGACACCCATCAGGCCGCCACCACATACACTTTTGGGCTCTACAACAGGGTGCCGTACGCTCCCGTCAGAGAGCCAGCCATAGGCACATTTATCCAGACCCTTTCTCCAAGCAGCATGGAGCTGGCCAGGGGATGCCAGGACAGCCTTGTGTTTTTTGCACTCTTCAATGGCCTCTGAATATGTTAGGTCACTGATCGCAGGGGGATAAAATACTTGACCTAAATATGAAAGAAAGGCAAAGAAAGTTACAATTATAAAATAAGAAAAGCAAGTAACATTTTAATCAACATAAAGGCTTTTAAATGGTAATTAAAAACAACTATTTGTTTTGGTGATGATTGGTCCTTGTGTTTTTCTTTTCAAATAACTCTCCTCTATCCAGTGGATTGACAGAGAGCAAATATATATATATATATATATATATATATATATATATATATATATATATATATATATATATATATATATATATATATATATATATATATATATAGTAAACATTTCCATTTGTCTCTAAAGATATATTTCAAATGTGAAAATGGACCTGCAATTGACACCGGATGACTGCAACCTCTCAAGTAATCCACACATGCAAAATTATTAAATCAAATAAATGTGCAAATTAAATAATAAGTCAATTAACAAAACAAATATGTGTTAAGTGCATGACTAAATTAGACTTCCAAAAGTAAAAGACACTAAATATCAACTTTTATATGTCAGTACTTAAAACATTGCCCTGCTTTCTTATAGGGTCAATCATAATTGGCTAGTCTTGTCCTATCTTATGTCCATAAATAGGTTTTATACACACTAGCAAGCTAGTGCACAAGAAGCAGCTAATGAGGTACAAATTAAGAGCTCTCTTAAGACCTTCTCTACCTTGTTACTCAATTATTTTGATGAATGTATAAATTCTGAATGTTTAGGTTATAAAACCACAGGACGCTTAGTACCAAAATAGAAATGACTTCACTTTACCATAAACCAGCCATGGCTAAGTGCTCAAAGTAAGGTTTTTGTTAAGGCTGGTTCACACGGAAAGCCCGATCTTCCCGTTCCGAGAGCCCCCAGTATTTAGAGCTTCTCGGGGCAGATATTCGGGGGAGATAATCCTGAATTGTCTCATCTCTTCAGAGTGATCGGGTCAGCGCGGTAGAATATTGGAACACCTCCATTTGCAAATGGGGAAATCCAACATGTTGGATTGTCCTGGCATGATATGCTGTGTTGTTTGGGGTCTGCAAGAAGCCAAGCAGATTCTGGGGATTGAAATTCTAAACTTTTACAGCTCTACGCTGTGAGTCAAGAAATCAGAGAAGATTATCTGAGTCCTGGCCGGGAAACACTGTATCCAAACCATAAATGTATATAAAGGGGTTATACTCCACAAGGTTTACATGCAAGCGCAGGAGAACGTTTCTGTTTGTTTTTTCACATACAAGGAAAAGTGTATGTAAAATATATTTACTTTGTCACTTTATGTAGTGACTTTTCAGATCCCTCTAGTAACATTTTTTTCCAAAAAAAATTGGACTTGTGACAGACCTAGGGACTTTTTCCTGTGTTGATTATAAAGAAAGCAAACAATGGTTATAATCTCGCTGTATTTAATTTCTTCAGTGAGCAATGACTGACTGAGCCCCTCCATTACCCCGAAAACACCGACAGTGAGTCAGATGCAGCAGCTGCAGCCCGTGCATGCAGTCAGAGAGAGAAGTGTTTCTCTCCTTTGTTTTCACATTAAAAATGAGTCACAAATGGACATGGCTTCAGTGATTCCCCTTCCTGAATTAAAAATGTAAATATTATATTTCTCTTTTTTTTTTTCACAGAAACTGAATCCTGAGTAAAATCTGTTTGTGTGGTTTGCTTTACTTGCCATCTGACCACACACTGCAAGACAATCAATTTTATGCCTTTTTATTTGTACGTGTTGTGTCTCTCTGGCTTTGAAAATTTGTCAACTATTTTTAAAATTCTGCTGCGTAAACAGTATTAAGTGGAGTTCAAAAATCCTTAAAAGATGTTTTTGAAACTCAAATACAGAAAATCTGAATTTAACAAGCATATTTTTTCATCTTAAAAAAAAATCTTATTCCACCCATTTGTAAGGAGGTTCTAATGATCATAATTCACTGCAAGAGACTCCCTGCTAAAAGTACGCATGCTGAGGCCCAATTAAAGATTATTGCTAAACAGTTGGACAAGGCATTTAGTCAAATAAAACTAAAATTTACCACTCATGGGAAACAGCATGCTTGAAAAGAGAAAGTGCTTCACAAACCATTACTGATACCATAACAAGAGCTGGGATGGGGGGCTGTCTTTTATTAAATAGAACTGACAAATTACTGAATGATAGACAAAAGAATAAATGTACCAGCAAATTTTTGATAAAAATCTTCTAAGGTACAATAGGTACTAAAAAGGTTTCGATAAGCCTATTCACTATTGTTTTCTTATAGAGAATCACGGGTTTTACTGACATCTGGTGTAAATATACTGGCAATAGCTAAATTATAAATATATTTCCTGGGATAAACAATGCATTCAGCTTTTATTTTCCTGAAATGTAATCTCAGCTAGGGCTGGGCGATAATTCAATAACGATATATATCGATCGATAGACGTCCATTTATTTGTTATATTAATTTTGGTCACTTTAGATTATTCTTTGTCAGTATTTAATAACAAAACTCAGGTCTCTTAAGTTATTTTTCTTTAAAACAATTCTGTTATGGTTAAAAAAGTTGCTTAAATAAAGATTCAATTGGAAGTCTGTGTTTGTGTTCTTTATTAAAATTAAATCATTTAGCAATATCATAAAATGTCCAGGCAGAGCTGCACATAAAATATGGTTTCAAATCTTTTCAATAATTATCAATATCGATCAATATGCATTTTCTTTTATCGATAAGCTTTTTTTCTATATCACCCAGCCCTAATCTCAGCTTTTATTTGCTATCTAAAAGAGAATTGAATTCTTTAATTTATGACCAATTTGGTGTGTCAGACACAGAAACCACAACCTCTGGACATACTGTATGGGTCTGGGCCAGCACTCAATGATATAGTGCAAATGAAAACAGGGGTGTGGGACTGATTCCTGCATGTAGCCGTAGCACTAGCATTTGGTAGCTTAAATGGCATGAATAATTTTTCATTACTTTGTTTGTTTAACATCTGTTTGCTAATATCACAAACTCTAAACATTGCCCTGAACAAATTCCAGATAAGGAGCAACTGCTGAGAGGTGACTGGAGTTTCAAATGTGACAACAGGGACATTTATCATCATAAAATACTTTAGTGCAGTTGATTCCAATAACAGTAAGAGACTGAATTGGTTAATGAATAGATAGGAAAAAAAAAAAAGACTGAGCAGTGCCAAGGACAGTTAAAAATCTAATTATCACATTTTTGCTGGGGACTTTTCAAAAACCACTAAAGCAATTCTTTCAAGTCCAATTATTAGAAGCTTCTCTGCAATCCCCTTTCTCCTTTAATAAAAAGTGAGGCCAGTTTGTCCAACAAAATATGCATTGAAAAATAAGTATTCCTGTGAAAAATTAAGTTTATTACTGTGGTGGTGTTATAAGCTTTTTAAGTTGAAGCATCTAAAACCTCACTATCTCAAATCTACACCAGACTGCTTACCATCAAGTTTGTCGACGTAACAATATACATCATAGCTCTCCGAAGGGTTTCTTATTCCATAAGTCCTAACACCAGGTTTCATATCAAGGTTTCCACGGCAGCCTTCTCTTGGTCTTGCAATCGGGTATCTGTGCAAAATAGAATCATTATTCGAGATTATCATTGTGCCCAGATATTTTAGAATTACTGTATATGATCATATGTACAACATATAAATAAATAGTGGCATGGGTGAAAGAGCTGACCTTACTGTCTGGTCAGAGAGCCATCCAGCATCGCACTGGTCAAATCCATCTGCATAAGCTGCTTTCAGCTGAGCATAGGTAGCTATGGTTGCTCCAATATCTTTGCAAGTTTGGACAGCTTTCATGTAATTCAAGGCGTACCGACTCCTTGCCCGATAGTGGAAAACAACACCTGGCAATAAAGAATTAAGAAAAAGAAACAACTCTTCAAAAAACAGGGATAACCAAACATTGCATACACAGTTGCAAATAATCATCTGCAATTCATTAGCATAAATCTGGGGTGGGTAAATTTTGGCAAGTATTTTATAAAAGACTCTCTAAGGGTAAAATAAATGAGCCTTTCAGAATCTTTGGAAATGAGGAGGTTTGCAATAAGCTGAGAGGATATGTGAAATACTCACATTGTTTACCACAAATGAACAACATAACTACATGTGATGCCATGGCCCTGAAATCCCCATATTTGTGGACAGTAAACACGCGCCTCAGATTTGATTGATAGCCTCAATTAAAATTGCAGATTGTTGGAAAAGAGGTCAGGCAGACTGTAAACCAAAACTATCCCAGTTTCCCCCCACCCATGCCTTCAACAAAAGTCATAAAGTATTGCCACCATTACTTACAAAACCATATATATGAAAATAGTTAAACTAGGTGAAGATTAGTAATGCTGTGTCTGGCACTAAAACATTAGTTTTTTTATTATGGTAATATATGCTGTTTGACAATGCCGTCACTGCTCCGGTTTAAAGAAACGGGCAGCATTTGAGATGACAAGAAAGCATGAAGTGATGTTAACCAAAGCTTGTATATAGCTGTATGAAGACACCAATATATAATCTCTGCTTTAAACATGCTTTAAAATAGGAGAAACATATAGAAATACACTGCAGTGTAGAACCAAAAATTTATTTGATACCAAATTCCTCAAAAATTAACTTAATTGTTTTTATTTACGTCTGATAGCTGTAGTCAAAATGTGTATTGTGCCTCCTGCTGACAGCTTTTCACACAGGCTGTTTTGCCCATTCTTCTCAATTTTTTTTTTTTTAAGGTTGGTCAGGTTCAATGAAAAGCAGATATAGCCAATCATAAATAAAAATCATAATTAGACTTTGTTCCGGAGTTTAATTGGGCCATTTAAACAAATAAGTCTATATGATCAAATCCATTCTATTTCAGTTGTTTTGTGTTGGTGTCCGTTGGAAGGTCTAACAGAGTTCCTTCCAAGATAGCCCTGTGATTACCGTAATTCCATTAATGTTTCCCATCAACTTTGATTTTCCCTGATAAAAAAAAAAAAAAAAAAAAAAGAATGAAACTCCCCACAGCAAGATGCTGCTACTTTTTTTTCTTTTATTGCATGTACCCAATGGATAAATTTGTGGGGAGAGTGGCTACTATTTGTTCTGTCATAACATTTTTCCACCTGAGTTGTGGAATACTACAGCTCACTTAATTTATACCATTGGCCTTGGCTGGTTCTCTAATCAATTTTCCCCTTGTCTGCCCTATCAAAAGCAGTGGAAAGACATGTCTTGAGAAGCATTTATTTTCCATGATAGAAAGGAGATAAAGCTTTTCTTTGTGAAATGTTTGAAGGTTGGGATGTACTTCTTTAATCCTACCAAAGAAATCTGGACAGCGTTCTGTCTGACCTATATACTCCATTTGTTCCTTAATCTTTATGAAGCTGTTTGCTCTCAATCTTTTTAAATAAAGCACAGATGCCTTTATGGAACAATGAGATCACTGAGTAAGAATAACTAGAATAGATTAATTTATTAGGGGACTTTAAGGATGATTTCACTGCATGATATTCCTAATTTCACTGTTTTCATCTTATTCTAGATTGATATAAAGAGGGAACTAGAAATAACTTACCACTGACATCAAGGTTAACGGTGTCATGGATGTCTTCAATGCCATATATGACCTCACAGCTGTAATTGCCGGCATCACTAGCCCGCAACTTGGCAATCGTTAAGGAGGCGTCGCCGATATCCTCCGGGTGGCTGGGCACAGACACACGACTCCTGTAGAGTGGGTTTATCTTGATGGTCCCATTTAAGAACACCAGCACTGTAGACTTATCCTGTCCGATTATTTTGGTCCATTTAATCCGTAAGTAATCTTTGCTATAATTGGTAACATTTGTACCGACGAATGGGGCAGATGTTGGGATAGAGGAGAAGGAGCAAGGAAGACTTATTTTTCCTGAGAGGGACCCAGAGACTGGTTGGATACTTGTTAAAGTGCTGGATGCTGAAAGCCAAAAAAAACGTCAAATGAGTTAAATGTAGTTCTTACTTAAATTTGACTTTCCAACCCTGGTACATTCAGTGTTTACTCTTTGTCCAGCATATACAAGAAGATATAATATAGTGTATGACTTCTTAACATTGAAAGGGTGTTACCACTACACCCAACCTAAAAATGAAAAAAAAAAAAAAAAACATGCCTCATGTTTTAAAAGTGACTCTTGGAAAGTTAAACCTCATCTTTAAAATAAAGGTTGTTGGAAAAAAATTCCCTACTGAGTGCAGGCTATGTACAATGCATTTGTATGGAGTTAGAAAAATGGGTTAAAACAGAAAGTCATAACTGAATAACTTAATGTTACCCGTCTTCCTTGTTTTCTGCATCTAATGTTACTTCTTACACTTCTCTTCACTACACTAAAACCTAAAGTAGGATTATATATACATTATTTTTAAAAAGACAGATACTTATACATTTTTACAGTGAAGTTACTTCAGTAAACATTAATGTTAAAGCATTAATGGAGATAAATTGAGTCTGATGTTGACAGACAGCCAGAGAGAAGCAAAGACTAAGTTGGACTTCTTCACTTTCTAAAAATTAAAATCTCAAAAACTCATTCTGGTTCATTCAACTATGTTCTGTGAAAGAATTGCCACTGGGTGATTATTTATATAAAAGACTGTAATAATTTGCACAGGAAGTAGTAGTAGTTGGAGGCTGTGCAGCATCAATGATATTTCTGGTACTGAGAACAGAAAAAGCTTAACAGTCAGATTAACAGTCAGAAATCAGTCAGACAAACACTAATATTATATAGAGATAACATAACAAAAATGCCATACTATCTGGCTGCTTGTATTATTGTATTTGTGATTTTCATATTTTTCTTACACATGTACAATTTTCTAAAAAAATAAAAAAATGTTGGTCTGCTCATGTCTGGGGTGAATAATCCTTGATATACCCGCTCATTGCAAACTTATAGATCAGGCTTCTTCAATTCTGGTGCCCTGCACATTTCTTGTCTCTGCTTCTACAACTGAATGAAACTGCTGAATTACCTTCTCACCAAGTTCTCCAGAATACTGCAAATGATCTGATTATTTGACTCGGGTGTGTTGAAAAGAGACACTTCTAAAAGGTGCAGGATGTCAGCCCTATATGCTTTAGCACTAATTGCCATATCTTCACATAAGAGTTATATTTAAAATAGTTATATGCACTTTAAATGAAGGTTCATTTGACCTGATTTTTTAGTTTTGCTTATAATCAAGCATTGACTTTCACTTCAAATGTTTTACGCGTTCCATATTCAGTATATGTCTGAAGCAGGAAGATCGGTTGTGGCCCTTCTCTTTTACCTATTTTGCAGAAATGTATATTCATTGGTTTGCTACTAAATAGCCAACTGATGCAAATTCGATGATGTTCTAAATATAGATAAAATAGCCTTTACACAGACTACAGACAGTTAAGATACTGGAATTGTTTTATGATATGATACCAAGAGGGTTCTTCCCTATACTTTGGCCCAGAATTTATCAAGGTCTCTTTGGGGCAGTAGGCAAGGACCTTGAAAATTTAAAATCCCTATAACCTTTCGACCCAAAGCTTTTATGTGTAAAAATAGATCAGTTTATGCAGCTGTTTTAAGAACTCCTTCTTTTTGTATTTTCTATTTCCCTGATTATGATATTTAGAATAACTGAGCTAGTTGCTAGACTATTTTCGGGCAGGCAGAGTTGGGAAGTAACGAAGTACAAATACTTCGTTACTGTACTCAAGTAGATTTTTCTGATAATTTTACTTTACTTTACTACTTATTTTTATGGCAACTTTTTACTTCTACTCCTTACATTTTTACACAAATATCTGTACTTTCTACTCCTTACATTTTAAAAAATTGTCTCGTTACTTTAGTTTTGAATCATTTCAATGGAGTTACCGTTATTATTTTTCACATCATCAATACCAAATTCAATCTAATTGGATGAGAATCTACGCTGCATTTGACGCACCACTACAAGATGAATCGACAGATTCGGCGGTATTCATTTGCGGCAAATCATTGCAGCTTGGTGGCGGTGGCGTTAGCATAGTAGTATGGACGACGAGATGATTGAAAATGAACACAACGGAGATCTAGTCCTATTGGCAGACATCCATTTAAAATGTAGGCAACGGCATGAAAAAAGTGGTTTCTACTTTTACTTTTATACTTTAAGTAAATTTACAAGCCTGTACTTTGTTACTTTTACTTGAGTAAAGAAGTTTAATCAGTACTTTCACTTTTACCAGAGTATTTTTTAACACAAGTATCTGTACTTTTACTCAAGTACGGAAAGTGAGTACTTTTGCCATCTCTGCGGGCAGGAATACATATGTTTAAGTTGATGTAGACATTTCTACAAAAAAAAAACTAAACTTTTCAGAAACACTACAAAAAGCTTTTCAGAAAACCAAAATAGATGGTCAGGCACACAAAAAAAACAGCAAGTTAGTTGTGCCACTCAGCTATCCCATCCTTCCTTCAATCCATCCATCCATCCATCCCTTCCCCATCCACTCATCAACCATCCATCCATCCATCCATTCATCTGTTCATCCTTCCAACCCATCTCATCCATCCATCCCATCTATCCATAAATCCATCTATCCATCTATCCAACCATCCCTTCATCCCATCCATCCATCATCCCTCCATCCATCCCATCAATCCTTCCATCACTTCCATCCTTCCATCCCATTCATTAATCTAATCCATCAATTCATCCATCCATCAATCCAATCCAGCCATCCTTTCATTCTATCATCCATCCGTCCATCAATCCCATCCCATCCATTCTTCCATCCCAACCCCCATCTACTCATCATCCATCACCCATCTATCCATCTGTCCATCAATCCCTTCCTATCAGTCCATCCCATCCATCCATATGTCCATTTCTCTATCCCATCCAGCCATCCATTCATCCATCCCATCCATCCCTCCATCCCATTCATCCAACCATCCGATCCAACCCATCATCAATCCAACCCATCCCATCCGTCCATCCTTCTGTCCAACCCATCCCATCCACCCATCCATTCATCCAACCCAACCCATCCGTCCATCCATTTTCCAACCCATCCCATCCACCCATCCATCCATCCAACTCATCCCATCCGTCCATCCTTCTGTCCAACCCATCCCATCCACCCATCCATTCATCCAACCCAACCCATCCGTCCATCCATTTTCCAACCCATCCCATCCACCCATCCATCCATCCAACTCATCCCATCCCATCCATTCATCCATCTATCCAACCATCCCTCCATCCCATCCATTCCTCCATCCCAACCATCCATCCCATCAATTCCTCCATCCATCCATCCCATCCCCATCCACTCATCATCCATCCACCCATCTATCTATCCATCCGTCCATCAATCCCATCCCATCCATCCATCAATCTATCCCATCCATCCATCCATACATATATATATATATATCCATCTCATACATCCATCAATCCATCTGTCCATCCATCCAACCAACCCATCCCATCCATCCCTCTGTCACATTCATCCTTCCATCCCTCCATCCCATCTGTCCATCCATTCCACCTATTTATCCTTCCATCCCATCCTGTTCCACAGTTAACATATTTCTGAATCTTGCCATGGCTACAAATACAGCATTAATTATTTTTTTTATCTTTTAACAACCCTAAATTCAAATCATATGAAAAGTAATATGAAAAATCTCTAAACTGAGACCCAAAAGACTGGTAATTTGATGAGATATAATCCAACTACTTTCAGAGTAAACTCCTTTGGTAAGTAAATAGTGAGACTATGCCATCTGGTTATTGTACATAGAGCTCAACTGACATCACCAAATTACCATTTGGCTCTTTTTGGAAATGTTTTGAGTGGGTGGAAAAGAAGGAGTTGGTATTCACAGGGAACAATGTAGAGAATCTTTAGCAAATCTGGTGAAGCAGCCCTAGGGGCATGTGTCTGTGTGCTTTAACAAGACCTTGTATTAGCATGTGTGATAAAAACAGCTGTTCAGTCTGCAGACCAGGAGCCCTGTTTAACTAAAAAGGTGATCATAGCCAGAGCATTGTGATTACAGAAGTAACCCAGTCCATTAAGCCACACAACTCATGAAACGTTTACCAGAATAATAAAGGTTTTAATTGTTAAAAATGTATTTGTTTACTGCAGATGCATCATCAGCATAGATGGACACATGGCTCAGTTTAAAAACACATGATGATAAAAAAATGGTTTAAAGTAAACCCAAGATCAAAATACACACAAAAAAAACAGACAAAACATTGTGGAAACTAACAAAAAAGACTCACCTGCAGCAAATGCAGCATTACAGAGATAATATAACCACAGGATATGCTTAAAATTTAGAGTCATCTGGAAAAAAGAAAAAAAAGAAAAAGTTACAATAAAATACATTTATTTCATAAGTTGAAAAGTTTTCTAAATCATAAGTCTTTTCAGATAAAGTGATTAAAATATTTGAAGGATAGAAATACCATAACAAAAAAATAGGTATAAATTTTACTTTCGTTATATGGGGGGTAATAATAAAAGCTCCCATCAAAATGTGTATGTTGGCTGACCAAAACAATTTGTTTAATATGAAGATGGGACTCAGACCCATGCAACTATAGAGTGACACAATCTCACGTTTTCCTAAAATATGTGGGTGGTGGAAAGTTGAGAGGTAAAACTTCCTGTGGGGTCAAGCTAGGAGATTTTGGAGACAGGAGGGCATAAGCAGCAGGCCCTCATTAGCACCCCACTGTATAAACACAAGGAGCTGGGGCTCAAAAGGAGCTGAAAACTGTGGGACACCGCCCCCCACCACCCCCACCCCATCAAAAGGCAATTAGCAACAACTCATCACTTATAAACCATCACCAAATCCATGGTCCTGAAATCCCCCAAAACCCCCCTAAACTAAAGAAATTAGTCTAATTTAGTTTCTATTTGAGAAGAAAAAATAGAATTGTTTATTAATATAATTTATTAAACAATAGTACCAGATAAAAGTTTCATTTGTTTACAGATCTTTGGAGCCTGTGGCCCCTCACTGAGAAAGATAAGCTCACTACTGCCAACATAATTTACTGAGGAACTGATTGTTAGTGTGCAATGTAAATTTACATGACAATAGCTACTTTAATGTTAAACAGAAAAGATAAGCACATGTCCTCATAAAAAAGAGAAACCCTGAAACTGGATGATCTGATATTCAAAATATGCTGTCCTTAAGCAGCAGCGGGACAGAGACCTTATCTAAAGACAGCAGGCATCATTGTGTACATTTGTAAACTGATAAGATGACTTAAATGTTCTGATTTGCTTTTATCAGGACTGTATTATTACAACAAAGTGCTACATGTTCAGAAAAGCAGCCAAAAGTAGATATGATGTGCAGGCATGTTTCACACTGTTTCAATGAGAGTCTAAATTTAGAAAAAAAAAGGACATACTTACGTTTGAATTGGTTTTATTCCATTAAAGAAAATAATTTATTTATTTTAAATAAACTATATCCCTAGTTGCAGCTTATCCCAACGTGCCACATGCGTGCGTAAAGCAGTGCCTGGACAGGTCCACTCCAAATTGAGGCAGCAGAACTTTTTTTCCCTTCCCGGTAAGTCGGACTCCTCTCTCTGGATGATGCGCGGTCCAAATAGCGTTCTCTTGGATCTGAGGGCAGTGGCAGAATCCCGTGAAGTGTTGGCAAAACTTTTGACTAAGCCACGCCGTTATTTCGTCAAAGAGGAGGAGTCCATGTAAATTGAATGAGACACCTTGAGGAGGAGGGAAAAGTCACCAATTGACCATGTGGAGGAGAGGAAGCCGATTCTCACCCAGCCAAACTTCAGTGGCACAAACGGATCCTCTGCAGTGTTAGAAGTGAGAATTAGTAAAGTATTGCAAAGTGCGCACTTTCTTAGTTTATGGAGTTATCGCCCTTCACTACAGTCATCCAAGAAACATGGAATGAACAAATTAAATATTGCACACTTAAATTGTCTAACAGGATCACAGTATTTTTCATATATTTCAGTGATTTTGGAAATCTGAGCAGTCATACATGTAAAGAGGGTGGGGTGGACGTTTTGCAAATGCCACAATCCTGATAGTTTTTATCCTAACCACAGGGCCACTGCTGATTCTGCCATCCGAGAGATAAATCAGATTTTATTTACATTAGTGCAACAATCGATGTGATGCATGAAAAACAAGGCAATGAAGACTATTTATGAGCCAAACCAATCGGCTAAGATGGGTAACATCTTGTTTAACAAACAAGTGAATCATTGGAAACTCTGTGAAAGACTTTTCCAAAGTGGGTTGTCCTGTCTGACAACCCACTGTCTAATAAATCTGTGATAATGTGCCAATGAGATGTGGAGATGTAAGAAGTGTGAGTAAGTTCAGTTGACTAAATGTGTTGCAAATGTCACGGTTAATATTTGGGACATTTTACAATAAAAAAAATGTAATCATTAATCATGAACCAAGTAGTTAATAAATCAAGGTGTGGTTATATAAAGATATTGATATTGTACCACCCAAAGCACCATCAGAACCACCTATCTAAAACAGGAAACACATTGTACCACAACAAACCTGCAATAACTGACCGATCGGGCAAGAGGGGCATTAATCAGATAATTATCACAGAGACTGAATCTGAAGGAGTTACAGAGTTCCATAACAAAGGCAGGAGTTCCTATTTATAGGACCATACTAAACCCTAAACCCTATAGAAATAGGGCTAGTGGCAGAATAGCCTGAAAAATTAAACATTAGAATTCAACCAACTTTAGTGAGTTTTTGAGTGAAAAAAAGTTTGTTCTTACCTGTGCTTCTTAGTCCCAAATCACACTTAAAACCAGTCCCTGACTGGTTAAAAAGCTCCCAGTTAACAGAGAAATTCAGATTTTCAACTTCCCCAAAATCCATGCATTCACCATATTTACGATGGCACTTCGCCCTGGATGCCAAATATTAATTCAAAATGCATTGTTTGCCCAGCCGACAATGAAGTTGTGCCTGAAAACGGATTTACATTGTGATAACATTGAAATTGCTTAATTTTTTTATTTTTGCTTAATTCATTTTAAATTCCATTTCTTTGACTCTTTATTGTGCTCAGAATTTTTTTTTTACATGGCAATTTTTGTTTTAAAATAAACACCTTAGTATCTTATAATTCCATTTACTCCTTTTTACTCATTACTTCACAAGTCATATTTTTTTATGTGTTGTAATCTCCTACACAAAGTTATGTTTGGATTGAAAAAATTTACTTAGATTTTAAGATAGCTTTTCTCAAGCAAAAAACAATCAAACGATGCTTTGAGGAATGCGCAAAAATCCCAATTGTTGCAGGAAATCTTAATATCACAAAAGTAGCCACACAAACTACTGGCTTTGGCAGGGGGTGAACACACCCATGTTAGGGTTTTCTGTATTTTTCTTAATTTGTTGTTTGCTTCATGATGAAACACCTTCTGAAAATTGAAGGCAATCCATCCATCTTTTCCTTCATATCAGTGAAGCTACACTGGGGCTGGTGCTTATGTCCAGCAATCTATGGGCAAAATGCAGGGTTCACTCTAGGCATGTTGTCAGCTTATTGCTGGGCAACATAGCCAACAGACAACCATGCAAACACAAACACGATGGCAATCTAGAGTTTAATTCATTAACCAAGTAATCGTGTACCCGCAGGGAGAACATACAAATTCCATGCAGGAAGACTTTGCCACTTTGCAGCAATTGGCATATTAGGTGAATTAAACTCTGCAAACCCTTCAATGGTTTAAAAAAAAAACATATTTACTGGAATTTAGAAAATTTTTATTGATTTAATTTACCTGCACTAGTTTCCCTTTCGGGTATGTATTAATGAATTTAATTGGATCAAATTTATTTATTTTTTATTCCACCATATAACTTCAATGGTTTATTGCATTTTGATAGGCTTGGGTGGTACAACATGAGAGACAAACCAAGAACAGAAGTCATGCAAGAATCTTCACTGATAACAAATCATCATAATTATATAGGTTAGACAAACATGCTTGCGTCCACTCACCAGAAATTCAGTTTTCCATTAACCAAACATGTACGTTTTTCTTGTGATTTTAGAAGGCCAAATACCTGACAAGAAAATACTCAAACTCAAAAAGAGAGGCACTAGCCTTAATTCAATCAGGAGTTTTGTGTTGTAAGACAATAGCTCTCTACTGATATGCAACAAAGGATGATTTCTAGTTGAGATTTTTCTATTCTGCAAATACAATATTGGAAAATAAAGGCAAAAACACTGTAGTACATTCTAATTTAATTGAGGATCATTTGGTCAGAACTGCTTATTTTTCTTTCCAAAGGCAAAAATCATGGTCACTTCACAGGGTCACAAGTACATCATCGCATAAAAGCACATTTAATGCATTATAGGCTACAACATCAAAGATCAGAATTATCCAAGAAATCCCTTATTGACAGGTGCACTCAACAGGTTTTATGCCCTGTTTGAGGATCCCAACACCCCTATCAGCACCAGACCTATATAACCTCTGGTGATATGGTCTTTAGGTGGAGCACGACAGATGTGAGGAAGACCCACCATGGAATCAACCTCCGTAATGCTTCAGGTTCCAGCAACATTCCAGGGTAGATACTTATGGCCGATCAGCTGTCTGAGGTTTTTAACACTTCATTGCCATTGGCATCTATTCCAACCTGCCTAAAGACCACCATTGTTGTCCCTTTTACCAAGTGCTCCACAGTGACAGGTCTGAATAACTACTAACCTACAACCTTAACATCAGTGGTAATGAAGTCCTCACAGAGGATAGTCATGAGCCACATCAAGGACTATATCAAAGTCACTGTGGACACCCATCAGTAGGCCAACAGGGGGACCCATCCACCGCTGATGTTGTCTAATCGGTGGTCCATACAGGTTTCACCCATATGTAGAGCAGAAATATTTACATCCATCTGTTCTTCCTGTAATTCTTCCTCGACCTTCAACACCATCATCCCACAGAGCTTGGTATGGAAGCTCTCTTCTCTCTCACTCGTAGGAATTTGGTCTTGGATATCCAGACCAACATTCCTTTGTCAGGATCCACCACAGTGTCCCCTACTTCATCACCCTCAGCAATGGCTCACCCTAGGGGTGCGAGTTGATTTCTCTTATGTTTATTCTGCTAATATATGGCTGCTTAGCAAGACACTCCAGCTGTCATATATTGAAGGTTACATATGATGAGTTCAAATACTGACAGAAAGTTAAACACCTGGTTCAATGTTGCAGACCATATCCTTTGCAAGAAGATGAAGAGTACTAAAGACCCATTTACACTACCTTTTTGAAACTGTGCCGAGATCGGTCTGAGCACGGTAACAGAGATTACTGTTGAGTGTAAATGGCATGCATAACCAAATCGGGCAACGCCAGACACAACTGAATCGCAGTAAACTGGTAGTAGTTCATCAGTAGGGCTCAGGGCAGTTCAGTTCTGGCTCGGTTAACTGAAAAGAAAGAGCCCATGAGCAGACCACGTCATCTCCTTACAGTCCGCCTCCATAATCATGAAATTTCAGATATTAATAAAAGATACTAGCTCCCCTACTATGCCACACGATTTCCAGTGATGATTCTGCTTAACAGCGTGATGAACCTGAATGTCTGTCTTTGTTTCCTGCGTCTGTAAGCCCTGATCAGACTATCGTTTGTTGTATCCACTTCCCAAAAGGCAACTGTCAAGTAAATTCACCAAAGGCTGCCTTCTTCACATGACTCCGGAAAAAAAAAAGAAATATCACAACTATAACCAAATTTCCTGAATGTTAGAGGCACTGCAATGTTGATTTGCTTGATTCCCTCTACAGAGCAGTAGTGCTGTCGATCGGCACTACAAGTCAAGGAACCATGCGAGTGATGTGTAAACGGTCGTAAGGAACCAAGCTGAGCACGGTTAACTGACCCAAGCTCGGTCCGAACTTGGCACAGATTGGTTTTCAGAAGGGTAGTGTAAATGGGGCTTAACAGAGAGTGTGGTGGGTTTCAGGGCTTTATCCCCTGTAGCTGTGAGGAGCAGCTCTGGAGGTGATGTGTGTTTGACCTCACCTGGAGTGTCAACACTTCCTGCCTAGTCAAGAAAACGCATCAGCATCGCTACTTCCTCAGGAAGCTCCGAAGTGCTGAACCCCGAAGCTCAGACCTGTGGAAAGTTTTCTGAAAAATACTAAAAAAATACAAAAAATAGTAAATTTTATCTAACAGCACCTTTCGAGACACTCAAGGTCACTTTATAAACAATAAAAACCCAAATACATGGAACAGGAAAATATAAACAAAGAGAACCCATGTGGCACGACAGCTGCCCTGCTACTGAGAGGGTGGCTCTGCCTGCACAGAGGTTAAGACTGCACAGAGGGCTGTAGGAAGCAACCTTCCCTCCACCTCAGACTTCTACACATCATGTCACTGGGGGACGTGCATCATAAAGGACTCCAACCATCCTGTGCACAGACTGTTCCAGCCTCTCCCCTCAGGCAGGCAGCTGAGGAGCACTAAGACTAAGACCACTGGGCTCAGAAACAGTTTCTGAGCTCGAACTGAAACTAGCTGCATTTATCTATTTATTTATATATTAAACTCAATGC